GTGTGTGTGTGCGTGCGTGCGTGCGTGCGTGCGTGCGTGCGTGCGTGCGTGCGTGCGTGCGTGTGTGTGTGTGCGTGTGCTAATCAACAATGCTATATGGATATTAGGTGATATTAGTGTGTTCTACATCTATAACAAATAACAAGGCACGATCAGTTGAATAGCTGTATGGATGATATGCGCGAGGGTTAATGTGTAGAAAGCCGTCCGCGCGCATTGCAGACGAAAACAACGCACGCCACTACATGCAAAACAGTAAAAAAGCAGTACATACCAGGAGAAAATAAACATAAGAGCCTTTCTGTACCCACCACGATTGAGTTTAAGAATGAGGCAAGGCTCTACTTTAACGTAATGGAGTGCCGTTTAAGCAGGACCTCTTACGCGAGATGGCGCCACGGTCAGCGCCACCATCAACTGTACACGGTGGCAAAGGTTCGCGAAGTCACGTGGCCAAAAATATTGAAACATGGCCAAAGCGAAAATGAGCTGCCGGTGAAACAGCTACGGGCCTGAAATTTGGCGGCAACGGATGTTGCCTTTGACCATCGAACTAACGAGTCGACTGGAAGAAATGTGGGCGCATCGAGGGGGAGATCCGTACTTCAATATCAGTGGCTACAGACTGCGCGAGCTTGCTCTCTGCCCGCGGGCTCTTACCTTATTAACTCCCGATATATACACAATTTTTAGTGAGCCTTTGAACACCACCTTTCGTTTGGAGCGCTCCAGCCGCTGGTCGCGCGTGTCCTCGGCCTCGCCTGGCACGCGCTTGCCCCACAGTTCGTGCGTTATCACAGAGTAGGTGAAGGTGAGCACGGCCAGCGGCAGGAAGTACTGCAGCGACATAAGCGCCATGCTATAACGCGAGCGGGATAGTTTCGCGCCGCCGGACGTCCACTGCTCCTCGCAGCGATCGCGCAGCGCGCCGTCGCTGAACGGAGCGGCGACGGTGCGCGAGACGATGGCGATAGGCAGCGGGATCGACAGCGAGATGACCCAGATGATGGCGATGGCGAGTTTCGCCTGGCAGGCGGTCATTCGCGGCCTCAGCGGGTAGATGATGGCGATGTACCGGTCTATACTGATCGACACGAGCGTGTACGAACTGACGAAGACGGACACCGCCTGCGCGTACGTCACCAGCGGACAGAGCACGGCGCCGAACGGCCAGTAGTTGAGCAGCTGGTTCGCGACGAAGTCGAACGGAATGCATAGAATCGCCATGAGTATGTCGCCGAGCGCCAGGTTGACGATGAAGTAGTTTGTGATGGTGCGCATGCGCTGGTAGGCGAGCACTATGTAGCAGACGACCGTATTGCCGCCGATCGCTAGCAGCCAGGCGGTGCCGTACATGATAATCATTGTCGCCTGCATGTAGGACGGCAGCGAGTTGTACGTGTACACGTCGGCGTCGTCGTCGGCGCTAGCGTTTACCGCCAGGTGGTGCGTCGTGCCGCCGACGGTCGGCGGGATTCCGCCGACGGTTCCCGGCAGCGCTGCGGGCGGCGGCAGCGATACCGTGTCGTTGCCTAGCAACGCGGTGGTCATCATCGTCGTCGTCGTCGACCGGCGACCATCTGAAACATTGACGGGCAAAGAGTTAGAACGCTAAAGGACGCACTTGCGTGGAGGCGGGCGACTCACTCGTGTCTGCCGTGCGCGTTGATCGCTTTCAGCTGTCAGCCGCTAAGAATGCTATCGATTCTACCGCCAGAACACCACCAGGTGAAGAAAACAACGCGAGAATTCGTACGCGCAACGCACGCACTCCCCCGCACGAATCGATCGGCGTCGTAGAGTACCCTGATCACCAATATTCGAGCACCGCGTCGGGCAGGATTAATAGGCGCGGCGATATACCTAATTATACATTAACCTTTGTGTTTTTGGCGCGAACCGGACCAGATGCGCGGATATCCCGTCTGTAGGCGACGACACCGTCAACAGGAATTGACGAGAGCGCGTGTATGAGCGTCGCGTGCGTTTCTCTCTCTCTCTCTCTCTCTCTCTCTCTCTCTCTCACTCGCTTTCTCTCTCTCTCTCGCTCTCTCTCTCTATTTCTCTCCGACGCTTTCTCTCTCTCACACTCTCTCTATGTCTCTCTATGGCGCCTTCTCCCCTTCTTTCTCTCACTCACTCTCTCTAGCTCCTTTTATCTATCTGCCTGCTATGCCATGCGGATTAGTTGGCATGGAGGAAGTCGAAAAAGGCATCCTAGCAATACAACTCACATGAAACTTCACGTGTGCTTAGTAAATTCACCATAGCGAAACGGCATATATATATATATATATATATATATATATATATATATATATATACAGTCTCGCCAAGATTAAATTCTCTCAACTTTTAGCTCAATCTTTCACGTTTGTTTTTTATGGGCTTTCTATTGCGCATTATTTCCCTAGCCAATACAGTTTAATAATGTCTCTCATCTCGCTGGCATTCATTCTGCTTTCTCTAGGCTACCACATGCACATCCATCTAACTTTCTTTCATGTTATTCTAGTTTGTAAATCCATATGGACCTAACGGTATTATAGATGCGATCAACAACCTCCGTCTCTGCGGAGGACATCAATGACGTTAAGCTTCGGATATAGACAAGGCGAGACAAAATTGGACGTGCGTGGGTCTCGTCATGGCGTCTCCGTAACGATTCTTGTTGATCCATTTATGATGATTCTCCGACGTGAGATAGCACATGCTAATAAGCGTATATGCCGAGTACGTGCGTCCACGTTACCTCGATCATTTCTCGTCAGTGCATGGCATGCGTAACGATCGTTGTTATTATGCCACATCTACACGGCATACGCGTAGCGAAGAGGTCATGTTCTTCCTCTGTTGAATAGCAAAGGACACCGCGTCAATTGACCGCCGCACTACTGCCGTGTGCGTACCGACGCGGCACACATAAACACACGCTTAACTGGTGCGCGGGCGAGTTCTGTATTGGGAATCCGAATTAAGCGCACGCTCTCGTTTTTACGAATGATGACGGAGCTTATTTTCCACAATGGGGACGTTGTTGGTAGCAGTAAACCGCGGCATATATCATTACTGCTAGTCAATGATTATGATTCTCCTCGTACCAGCTCGTTGTTTCGAGCAGCAGCGACCTAGGCAGATGCAAATTGTGCATCAATATTCGTCTCTTAATAGGTTGTCATACGAACATTCGTTTGCAGCGTAAATAGCGACGCATCAGTCCTTGCACGAGCGGATGTCTTCAGGGTATGTATAGGCGAGTGAAACACCGTTTATGCGATCTAGAATGAAACACGCGAGTAGTTACGAACGAAGAATAACTCATGTGCCAGTGTCTTCTTTCCACTTCTACTACGTCTGCTGTGCAAAAGTTTGAGCCAATCATACTGGCGAACAACTGGATTTCATGTATCGTATTTTCTATATACAAAAGGAAGAGATATTGGACGAACGCTACATTTTATAAATTCACTCTAGCGATGGGTTCGCTGTTCGTAAATCTCAGGCGAAAGAGAAAATTAACTAAACGCATATAATACATTTCCACGAATAAATGTTTCCCGCAATTGTCCGGCGAAACATTGTGCACAGCAAAAACACGCATGCTGTTACGAATGTAAATATTTATAACCGGTGACGCGATATGTCACGAAGTTTTGCAAGAACTTAGAGGTTCGTAGCTGCAGCAGCGATGCATTATTCATTTGTCATTTAGCCAGCTGTCGATCTAGCATCACGTCTACCCGCTTTTCCTCTTCGAGTGGTTGCCTAGAAATGCACACGAAGGGCGATTTAGGCCAATTACGGCGAAACAGCATCGGGACAACATGGCTGGAAAGAAGCTTCTTGCTTCCTATGAAATTGTGCGTTGATGCATTAATATGGAATTCATGAATAAGTAATATTTGTGCGGAGTCGTATAGAGTTAGTTATTGTGTAGCGGGTCTTTGATGACGGTGGAAACGGTGTTCTTCTAAACCAAACTCTGGTCTCTAACGATCGTCTGTCTCGTTTCAGCATTAGGCACGTACTAATCTGTGCATGCGATCACTCACTCTGCTACCCAACGTACGCACGCACACACGGACACAAGCACACACACATACATATACTCACACACACGCACAGCCACACACAGAAAAACAAACAAACAAATACACACCCACATTCACACAAACAAGCAAACAAATAACAAACA